ATATAAATGTACGCCGGGCCGGATGTGGCCCGCGGGCCTTCAGTTTGACACATGTGGTCTAGCCTATGACATACTACTGCTGTTGCCTAGTAACCATGACAGCTACAGACATGATGAGCAGCGTGTTAAACTCTCTGTTTTAAAATAGAGAAAATTGTTCTTCTGTTTTACTTTTTCTGGAGAAAATTGAGATGTGTCATTGGTGTGTATCCTACGCTGAGCCTTGGGCTGAGTCCCTTTAGACAACACGAATGTTAACTTAGTTAGTAAACAAGTTTGCTAATGTAGCTCATCTGATGACTGGCTGGGCGTTGATTGGCCAGGACTTGTTTTTCCCATTCAGCTGACTTCTCAGCACTTCCAGACCCCTGCAGGTATTCTGTGGTAGTGCATTTCCCTCAGTTCTGTGTACCAATATGATCTGAGGGGGTTCAGGCCTGTGCAGAGCAGCAGTGGGCACAGAGCATCTCCTTGGTAAATCCCAGTTTGATAGTGTCTTGTACTGTTGGCTTGAAGTTGGCCTCTAGTGTTGTTCGCCACATCATCAAATTCCTGATGAAGGTTCTTGGGGACCTGTTGATCCGGGTACAGAGCTAGATATTCCAGGATATTCCAGGATCCATATGTGAGCCAGTCTGGGTGTGGCTCATCCACTGGTAGCTGGTTCATTTGTGCTGCCAGATGGTGTCACTACGTCTGTCGTGTATGTGACGGCATTTTCTCCTTTTGTTGTGCATCCTGTGTATGCTGGAAGAAAGCAATGAAGGAGCACTGAAGCTCTGTCCTTAGTGTTTGCAGAACGGGAACAGTGTTGCTATGGCCACCACACTGATACTTCCGGATCACAGAAGCCTTCCTAAGGAAAATAGACTATTGGAGTGCACACATCCTTTCCACTGTGACGTAATCAGCCTTCAAATGCAGCCCCCTGACTTTGGACACAGTGGTGCATTACAGCCGATTGATTACTTATGTGTAACATGTTAGTTTAATCACATCCTTAAATGTAATGATCAGAGCTCAGTTTCTGGTCACTTGTTTAAGTTACACGAATGATTAATTAGTTGTATCTCCACGTTGAGCCGACAGAAACAGTTGTGTACCTGTGCACAGCAAATGCCTGAGTTTCAATGGCAGAAGAATAAAAATAGCAGCAGTGTACAGCTTTTGAGGAGTGGCCACTCGATCCACTCTGTGACGGCTGAAAACTCGACCCAGGTCTAACGCAAAGAACAAGCTGATTGTCTCCAACGAGCTGTAACATGCTGTTGCAAATCTAGAAACACCATCTATCAATATATTGGCCCAGCAGCAGAGCCACAGTCATGTGCTGTCTGATTCAGCACTTTGTCCATTTATCGACAGTGGAGTGTGGAATAACTGCAAACGTTGTGCTGTATGTCTTACAGATTCCATGAAACCTGTGATTGGCTGGAGAGCTTCATTGACCCCTTTGACCTGGACGTGTTTACACCTCACCTGAACGCCAGCCTCAACCGCCTGTCTCAAAGGACCTTGGTACTTCCAGCTACGCTTAAAGGAGTCAAAGATAAACAATGCTGTTTTTGTAACAGGCAGTTCATTTGGACGACACATTTATATGG